TTTTTAGAAATATACTTAGCTAATCATATTCCGATATTCTATATGCATTATAAAATAACTCACTAAAATTTATAACAGCTATTTATGATGCTTATTAGACACACTAGAATTTGAAGAACAGCTCTTGATAGCAAAATTGAGAGTATATGAGGGTCCTAAAGCTGCAACTTTAGTACAAATGAAGTGTGGTATTCTAAAGAAACCATGTTAAAGATGGCTGATTACAAGAGAGTGAGAGGTAAAGATAAAAACAGCAACTGAAATATGCCTTGTCTCCTCAATCACTGTTCAAACTGATTTGTGTGTGTTTTGGGATGGAGGAGGAGGAAGGTGAACAGTAAGAACAATCAAATCTGGTAGCTTACAGTTATCCAAAGAATACTTAGGTGCATAAGCATAAGTTTCCCCTCTTTTAGGGAATGGGAAAATATTCTTAGATGTGCTTCAGACCCAGATACTGTGTTTCTCCTGCACAGTGTGCAGTAGAGGGAGGCCCTTCCCTATTACAGCACCTTCAGTAACTTGACTTTGAGAGTAACGCTTCACCTACCATACAGATAAGCCTATCAACACCGTTGATCAGTGGAGCAACAAATGCCACTGTCAAGAGCCCATGGGCTCCTCTGTCTTCATTAATGCATTCCTCTGTGTAAGATTCAAGGAGAACATACTTCACAGACAATTATATGCTCAGTGTAACATTGAAGAAGTCCTGTGGGGCCACAGAAACCAAGGTGAGTAATGGCTTGGAAAGGGTCTCCTCCTCAACAAGCTATGCAGGATATAGGCAACATCATAATTATTCTATAACTTAGTATTTTCCACTTACAAATTTCCTTAGTACTCTGATCATGGTACCGTTTTATCTAAATAAAAACACAAGCCGGGCACAGTGGCTCACACTTGTGATACCAGAACTTTGGGAGATCAAGGCAAGCGGATCACTTGAGGCCAGGAGTTTGAAATCAGCCTAGCCAACATCATGAAACCCTGTCTCTATTAAAAACACAAAAATTAGCTGGGCATGGTAGTGCCCAACTGTAATCCCAGCTACTTGGGAGGCTGAGGCACGAGAATCACTTGAATTCAGGAGGCAAAGGCTGCAGTGAGCCAAGACTGTGCCACTGTACTCCAACCTAGGTGACAGAGCGAGACCTCATCTCAATAATAATAATAATAATAATAAAATAAAAACACAAAACATACACCTACTCAAAGGAAGATAAGTAATTCAGGTTAATCTGAATGCAGAGCTACTGCCTACTTTGTGCCTCCCTAGGAGGATGTGGCTGTATCACTTGGACTTCTATCACCATGACAGGTTCACCCTGGGGTCCAGTGGGCATTAAGTGAGGAACTCCAAATAAAATACCAAGAAGTAATGCAATAAATGTTAGCTAAATTATTACTGGATTATATTTCATATTATATTATGGGATTATATTTTATATATTATATTTTATATTATATATTATATTACAGGATTATATTTAATCCTGTGTCTCAATATAGCCACCCCGTCACTAGCAAAATGACAAAGAGAAGTGGGCATGAGAAAGGACTAGAAAGAAAAGCATCGATGGTATGTTGCTTATTTTAATAAGCACAAACAACGGGATTCCTCTATTGATACAGCATCTTTCCAGAAATGCGCCTGGCTTATATGGAGTCAAATATCCTCTGAAGTCTAAATTTGTAACATAATGTTTAAAAAACAACATAATAATTAAAAGTGATGATAGCTTCTTCAGCAAAATATGATTAAATTTTACATATAATATCGGCTGTATAGCATACTTTAGTAAGGTATTCTCCCTCCATCCCCTCCCTGCCTGAGACTTAGCCACAATGAAGTCAGGAATGCATTAAGCAGCCAAATGGAAACTACGTGATGATAAGAGGCTGAGTGACAGCCAGGTCAGCAGTGCCACACCTTGGTGCTAGAGGATAAATTATATCTGACACTGATGTACTCCTTCAACAAGAAGACTTGCTTTAACGTTCTGATTAGGAAAAATGAATTCGTCTGCTAATTTCGGTGAATTGAAGTTGTCTATTATAAGAACAGAGTTATTTGTTTAGGTATGTTTTAAGCTATATAAAAATATAAGTAACAGTTTTAAAAAATGTACAGTTTATACTTTACGGAGCTTAATTTTTGCTTCTCAAATTTTGTTATCCAGAGCTATTATTTCTGGTATATTATCATATTATAACAAACTGCCTGTCTGACTTGAAAATTCTAAGTTGTATGGCCCAAGAAAAGCTATTACAGTAGGTGCTCTGTGTAACTGACTTCCACTGGACAACTTCCTGGATTAACCACTGCTCATCATTCCCTCTGCAAACCATACTGATGAATACCCAATGGCACTAGCAGTCTAACGGGCAATCCCTAGTGCCATACATACTTTCTGCTCCCACCAGACCGGGCTGTGTCTTCCCAAACCTGTTTATACCAAGTGACTTGCTATTTTAATTATAAAATTTAATTATTATGAGAGCTGATAAAGTAGTACAAAGATAAATGTTGTTCCCATAAAAACTAAGTTTTTATACAGACAATAAAGGCAAGTCATTAAAAAGAAAGCTGTTAGTTAAATGTGGGCAGGACAGCTACAAAAAAATGAGAAAGAAATTGTAAAATCTAAGATTTTGTACTTAGATTCTGTCATTAGTCTCTATGTTTTCACTCTTATGGTTTAGTCTATTAATACAACGTAGAATTTAAAAGAGTAGAATCGTCAAAGAAAAGCCCTTGGCCTCACAAGAGTTTGGCAAACATATTTTTATGTTTTAATGACAATAAAACAGTTCGAATGTATACTTTTTAACAATTCCCTGCTTTAGTTGATATTTTCAATTCATTAGTTCCAATTATGCTGGGAAAGAGGGTGTTTTCCAGGCTTCTAATTAGTAACTACTGGATTAGTGGCTATTAGATTTATGAGGTTATTATGAATAAACAGGATTAATCTGGAATCTAGGCATTCACATTTTTATTCTAGACCTTTCAAAGATAAAATACTTTAAGATACTCCATCTCTTTAACATAGCAGGAATCAGAGAACAGTGATTAACAACATGACTGCTCAGATAGCCGGGCTCCAACATTTGCTAGCTCCAAGACAGCCTATCACTTAAGCCCCAGTTTTCTCAACTGGAAAATAAGGTTAATAATAGTACCTACCCTCCTGGGCCTCAAGAGGTTGAAATGAGAAAATGTGGCATAGCAAATGCCTAGCACAGTGCTTGGTACATAATAAGTGCCCAAAATGTTCATTAGTATAATAAAGTTATTATACTGCCTAATATGAAAAAAGTACCCATTACTATATAAATTAGATTATAACTAGTATGTTTGATTCAGTGTCAGTTTTTTGGGTGGAGGCTGTTTTGCCTCCACCTATCAACAGTTCAGAAACACCTGCAGAAAATTTGTGCGGGTACATTAAAGCAGGGGTTCTCAGCTAGGTGTTGGTTTACCTCCTAAGAGACACTTGGCAATGACTGGAGACATTTAGGCTGTCACAACTAGAGGGAGGAGGAAAACCTGCTGGCATTTAGGGTGTGGAAGCCAGGGATGCTGCTAAGCATCCTGTATCCTATGATGCACAGGACAGTCCCCCACTCCACCCCACCCCAACAAAGAATCATCTCACCCCCAAATGCCAAGTTGGCAAAAACTTGTACCTTAAAGGACAGTATAAGAGAGATGTATTTTCTAAAATATGAACTTCAGAAAATTATTGAGAAAATAAATGTTTAAAAACGACATTGGGATATTCAATACAATATTGATTCCAGAAACCGTGCCATGGATACATAGGAATGAGACACGGATATTTAGTCACAAGACAAGATTGTTTCCTGTCAATAAACCTTCTGGAATGAGGTCTATGATGTAGTAATATTAAGATATGTTTTATAAAGCAATTATTATAAAGTTATGAGTACCAGATTTGAAACTAAACTTCACTCAGAAGAATACATTTAAATACCATTCAAATCCCTAAAACAGTGGAAATCAAAACACTGCAGGAGTAGTTTGCAGACAGGGAGCCACTCGCCACAGGCCTCTTCACTTGGCTGCAGAGATGACTGATCTACCTAGTGGAACACAGAGGTATGTCCTTTGTGGGCGATCATCCTGTTTCCTCCTTTGCCTACCTGGATAACTGAAACTCATTCCGTAATTAATGCTGCTCAAAAACACCATTAGAAAGCTTGTAAGAGTTCACTTAGACCACTTACTTTTCAGTAAATCACAGTGGTCTTTCTTAAAAGTATGAGATAAAACTGTATAAAGTATAATCTCTCTCTCTCTATATTTTTTATTCTCCCACTCAAAGAATTAAGACTAGAAAGGAAGTGGACAGTATGTCAAAGGTACTTCTCTCTTCTGTGCCTTTACTACTCAAAGACCTAGATTTGATTCTTGGCACTGAGACTTATTGGCTCTGTGACTTTTGTCAAATAATGTAATTTGTTTTCAAAATACTTCCTGTAAATGGACAGGAATATATTATAATTCCTATCTACTGATGACATTGAAGCAGCAAAAAAAAAAAAAAAAAAGGTTCCTGTACTTACTGAGAAAGTGTTAAAAAATGAAAGTAGCATTAAAACTAGTTTTGCAATCCTTAAAAAACAGCTATATTTCAAGTATTTTCAACTTTGTACATTTGTCCCTAAAGGTGACACAGCAAATCTACTATACAACAAAGACTATAATTTCAAACACTAAGTCAAAGGGACTTTTTAATTTTAAAAGTACTATTCAAAAACAAGACATTTATATATCTGAAAGGGGTAAGTAACTCAAAAAATGGAAAAATAAATAAATTGCGGCGAATGGCTCTTTAGCTATTTACCATCAAGAAAGATGAGGAAATCATGCAAATCTTACATCACAATGCTAATAAAAATCTTAATATACAGTACTTTTCTTCACAAAGTATGGCAAAAGAAAACATAAGAAACAGAAGATTTGTACTTACCCTTCTGGTAGAAAAATTTTCTATAATAGTATGCACCCAGGTCCACGTGTTCCACGATGTATCTTTTCACTCTATCTAGGTGCAACACCAAGTTCTCCTTGGGCACTTCAAGTACTGCCACTCCTGCATTTGTGCAATGGGAACTAAGGGTAGACTCAAAGGAGGCACTTTCACATCCACTAAAGGAGCCAGAATTTGATTTTGAAAGGCTGATTTTCCTCTCCCCTTCTCCACCTATCTCATTCCGAAAATATGGACAGCTCATTACAAGCTCATTGCTTTTATCATCTCCCTGGTCCATGCTGAGGCTTCCTTTGGAATTCAGGTCCTCCGTGCTGCCCATTGGGGAGCTAAAACTGGCTGAATGAGACAGAGGGCCAGAGACCAAGGATGCCACGGCAGCTGCGGAAGCTCCAGTGGTGGTGTTTCTCCTCTTAATCACATTGTGCCTGTTCATAATAGCCTCATTCAAATCAAATAATATACTCTGGACATCATAGTGGGCAAAGCACTTTGGACACGTCCAGGGCCTGACAGAGTCTTCTGATCGGTTATCTTCAAGATCTGATGACTTCCCAAGTTCTTCACCTTTGGCATTGCGCAATTTACGAAAAATAGATGAGTCTCCAGTTTCAGATTTTGAACGTCGCTTGAGTGGTTTTTCCCTTTCCTTAAAAAGCCTGAGGTTCTCTCTCTGTGAGATAGGCCCGTCTATAACGTCCAAAGAGAAACCAGAACCCTTGCCACCACCAGTAATGAGAAAGTCACTGAGCTTGGTTGGAGTTGGACCTCGATCAGATTTGTCATCTTTGTAGCCCTTTAACAAATCAAAAAAGCTTTCTCCGGACGTTCCCTGTTTATCAATGGAAGATGTGCTACCATATTCCCTGTGCAGGGATGGTCCAGTCTTGTATGTAGGTGAGATACATTCATCAAAGCTATCCACATCAAGTTCACTTATGGTGATATCACTGTTGCTTCGCTGCCGTATTCTGCGAAGAGCTTTTCTGGGGGAGGTGGGGTAGGCTTCAGGCATGAGAAATCTGGAGTCCATGTTCTCCGACGGTCTTGTCTTGTTTTTCAGCGTGTTCTGTATGCTTTTCAGCATGGCTGAGTCATTGGAATTGAGGCTAACAGAACTTCCCTGACTCACAGGACTGCTTTTGGAGGACAGGCTATCAAGGCAACTTGAGGTTTCTATTTCCTGGCTTGAACGGCTAGATTCTTTTATGTTTTCCTTTCTTGGGGGCCAATCTGCAATCCTTGCCCTTACCCCCATCTTTGGGACTCCGGGGGTTGAGGTTATATGGTGAGAACCTTCACTTCGGGGAGGTCCTACAGGAGCCATAACTGATGATCCTAAGCTGCCATTTTGGGACCGGAAACGCCGCATGTAGAAATCATCAGTGTGGACTTTGGGGGTGCCATCTGCGCCAACAACGGAGGTCCTGTCAGTGGCAAGAGGCCTTTCTGTCTGTGACCGTTTCAAGCTGGTCATGATGTAAAAGCAAGCAGACTTAAATCCCTGCAGAAAGGACCATCATATCTGTGTTTTAAATGTGCACACTTCCCTTTCGGAGAATGGCTTCCAGAAAATACGACGGTTGCGTGAGATCTTAGTCTTTTTCATTTAAAAGGTTAAATAATGCTTCATTTGTAAACAACTGAAAATTTGGAACTTCTAAAGGTTATAATCCACAACAGTTTCTTTGCTTCACTTTAACAGAGGGCTTTCTTTCAGAAAAAACTGAATGGAACTTGTATTACTGAGATTCTGTGGGTGCCATAATCCCATGCTTTCTCTAAAAGAGAAAAGGATAATTTAAATTAGCAGAAAAATATATCTAAAAATAAACATGCAATTGTCAAAACCAGACACATGAAAATAAAAGACTCAATAATGGATTGGGAGTCACAGTTCCACAATTCATATTTTTAGCAAAGCAGGTTTAAAAGAAAGGAAGAAAGTAAAAACCATTTGATTTATATTCTTAAAAAAAAAGACTATTAAAACTTCATCTTAATTGAACAGTTCCATAAAATGGGAGGTCGGGGAGGGGTACATCTTGTTCTAGGATATCATGGCTCCTACTCCAAGTACAGACTTTTGCTCCAATGACCTCTAAAAATGTAGAATACCATGAACCACTGTGATGACCAGAAGTTTGAGATGTAACCAACCGAATAATTAGAGCAACACAGTTTTTTGACAAAAGTAAAAACTGAAAAATGACTTTATCAAATTCATATGCTGCAACAATCACTTTTTAACTCCTCTTCCAAAATAAATACATGTTTTTTTGTTCCTTAACAAAGGCTTAACATAGTTGGCAAAAACAAATATAGCAGAAAGAAAATAAAAAGGGTTTTCCTACAGCCATTCTATCTATTAGCACTCTTCTGTATCTTCCTCTGCTTTATTACTTACCGAGTCGAGGATACTGCAGAATGAATCCAGCAATCACCACCACCTCTTCTCAAGCTTTCTTTAGTTTCTTCTACTCTTAAAAGCTAGAAGTATCTCACTAATGAACAAAATGCCTGCACTTCCTTATGCAGTACAACCTACTCCACCCCATCAGTGCTAATTTATGAAGACGGCAGAAACAAAACACAGCTCTGGGTGGCCCTCTCCATATCCCCAACAGATTACAGAGAACTGTTAGCATCCTTCCAGGTGACAGGCATGGAAACGAACTTCCTCATGAGCACGTCAGGCAGGAGGCAGGAGGCACAGATTCTGAGTATAAAATTCTGCATGGTTGCGTACATTGTGAAAAGAAAGGCAGAGGCTCCTTTTCCAAGACTCCACAAATTACACAAGAGGTGGCCTTTAAATTCTTGCCAAATACATGTTTGGAAAGATGCTGCTGAACCAGCACTGAGCTGACAGGGCGGCATTGTCTACAAATCAGGGCTCTGACACCCGAGGACGACCCGCACTTGCTGCACTCTCCACTCAATGGTAACAAGCACTTACTTCCACGATAATTAAGCATCTCCCTAGTCGGCTTCCTGCCTCCAAGGCAGGCGCTTTCATTTCTCTTGCAGCACACGGCATCATTTTAGAAGACTCGCTTCTATTTAAAGGTTGGAACATGTAGGGGTGTTTAAAAAAAAAATGCATGCTGCCTGCAGAATGCAGGGCCAGGCGAGCTCTGGCTGGGCTCGTGCTGGCTGGGTCTGTGCAGCTGTTCATATAAATGCCAATTGTTTTCACTAGCACTCCTCTTCACCATCTTTTGTAAAAGGGATAATAGTTTTGCACTGCTACCTAATTAAACCTGGCTTTTGAGCTTTCTAGATACTTCTACTGTCAGACTGCTATTATTCCCTTTATATTCCAGAACTTTATGTGTTTCTCTTTCAACAATAAGCCTTCAAGTGACAAAACGTGCTAACTATTGCTTCCAAGGATATCAAAGGACAGCATGTACGGCCACAGCAGAGGTTCAAGAAGTGATCCTCATAAAACGGAAGGAAAATCGATCAACTGAGCCAAAATGCAAACACCTGTTCATCTTCCAAAAAGCTGATTATTTCAATATTCTACATAGAATAAATAATAAGTAGATTCTTATAAAAACTGGGTGGTTTCAACATTTCCCACAACCTCACAGAAAATCAAATAAATCATCTTTCATTCCCCAAACATTCATTCTCTAAAAGGACAACATACCAATCCCACCATGATAAAAACTCTTGCCACATTTCATTTGTCTTAGAAAATAATTTACTGTAGAACTGTCTTTCTTAGGATATGTGACGTTATTTCCATTACAGGAGAAAACTAAAAGCTGGCAGTAAAATATAAGAAATAAAACTGTCTTGGAAATGCTCAGTCTTCACCATCAGTATTTCTCTTCCAAACCATCTCATATACTTCCAATATTTTTAATGGGTTTATAAAATCTTATTTTAAATAGAAAAATTTCTTACCAATTCAAAAGAAATTTCAAGACTCCCATTACATTATATAACAACAATTCAATGTTTTCTTTTCATTTCAAAATACAGATGAGCACATGGGAGAGAGAAGCCACAGTTTAGTGGCCTGTAAAAACTGATGAGGTTCGAGATGGGCAATTAATTATGTTAAATAACAGATTTTTTTTCAGTCATAAGGACCTTCCTTTTTCTTTATTTTTTTCTCCCTCTCAGTTTCCATCTCTCTCCCTCCCTTTTCCCATCCTTATTTATAGCATCAAACCCCTCTGAGGTACAATATAAACTTAGGGCACTGACTAGCATATATAGAAATATACATGCTTTGCACATATTAAACTAGCCAGTCAAAAATAACACTGTCCATCACTGTGTGCCATATGATGACAGATCATTAAAATCAATTCCTTAGGGTTGGCTGAAATAGTAAACCTATGTTGTCAATGATTAGCAACTCTCTTAAATATCAGCAAACCTGCCTAAGTACCAATATGGTAAAAAGCAATAGAATTAAACAGAAGAGCAATACAAATTCACAGCATATCACCTCCATCTGTTGAAAGAGCAGGTTATATAAAAATTTTCCTTATTACACGTTTAATTTTACAGCTCTAGATACTATTTTAAGTCTGTGGTAGATCCATGTAGCTAGAATACTAATCCTATCTAGAGGGCCCACAGTTTAGTTCAATGAGTTCAATTCAATTAGTTGAAAGTCTTTTCATCACTCAAGATTTCTCACAACGTAACCCACCATTCTTCCAGAAGAAATCCTTCCTCCACTCTTCTAAATCACTCCCTGTGTTTCTGGAGTCTCTTCTGAGCATGTCCCTCCATCAAGGTAAGCTCCAGGTGGTATCAGGGAGACGCAGACAAAGAAAAAGATGACAGGGGATGCATGGAACATGCCTCCTTCCTATATACTTCCCATTCTGATTGTAAGCTGTTTAATAACAGGAACTATCTCCTGGTGGGACTATTTGTACCACAGTAGGTCAGCTATTTAGAATATCAAGTCCCAGAGAATGCTGAAAGCAGAACCTCTTATGGGAATCTCTTGCTTGCTAAAAACCCTTGTCATTCTGGCTCTGTGAAGCATCTGCACTCCTGAACCCATCCTGCATCCTGAAACTCTCTTTTCTTGACCTCTGTGATAACCACATGCTTCTTCATTTTCTCTTGCCTCTCTTTTTGCTGACTACTCGGTCTGTAGTGGAGTCCAGTGAAAAGCCAGTGATCACAGAGTGGTGTCTATGGTTTGCCTCTCTTGCCATTTTTCATATTTCTGGAAGGGAGTATAAAGGGTGTTTCTATAAGGATGCATGTGAGCATTGAGTATATTAGAGTGGGTCCACTAGAGTAATAATATCACTGTGGAAAGCAGTGTGTTAACTGGGTTTGATCACATTTGTCTGTGCAGCTGAACAAAGACAGAACAATGAAGTTACTGGCTGGAAATCTGCATGGTAACCAGTGCTCTGTCTGGTGATGCTATAGGTATCTGCAGCTTTAAATATCATCTCTATGCTGTTACCTCCAAATCTCTGGTCATGATTCTCTCCACTAAACTCCAGATAAAATAGGGACAGGTCCTCATTGGATATCTTCTTTATTTATCTATTTTACAATGAATTAACCAACAAGCAGAATAATGAAAAAGAAAAAAAGAAATTTTTTTTCAAGAAATGATTAAGTGGTAATGAAGTGAGCACAATAATTCAAGGAACAGAATGAGAGAAACAACACTGTGCCAAGGGCATAAAGAACAGTTTAAAGGTTACATAAGAGATGTGGGAAGGGGTGTGGTTGGGGGAACACTGCAGTTCCTGTGATGAAAGAATTACCATGCAATATGGTAGGGTCACCAAAAACATGTAATGTTCCTCATCAAATACTTCCACATTCCAAAATGAGATCTTCTCAGATTATTTAACTGGTATAGCCTAAAATACAAGGCCAGCTCTCAATGTTTCAGGGCAGTAGAAAAAAACCATGCTGATGAATAAACTATTCAAATGCCCCCGTCATCCAGAGATATACACTACAGATGAATTTATGAAAATTTCCAGGAGGACAGTGGCTTGTGCCTGTGAATCCAGCACCTTAAAGAAGGCCAAAGCAAGTGGATGGCTTGAGCCCAGGAATTTGAGACCAGTCTAGGTAACACGGTGATAACCAGGCTCTTAAAAAAACGAATCAAGGGAAATAGTTTTTGATGTTGTGTACACAGACATAGAATGACTGTAAATATTTAGTTCAGAATGTAATAGAATACTATTAAAAACAGAAATGCAACTTCACATATTTGAATATTAGATTAGGTAATATAATCAAATAAGGCAAACTATTTTCTTTACATTCCTTCTTGGCTTTCCTGAATTTCACTCACATTACATAAAAGTAACATCTCAGACAGAAGGGATGTCTCACTCTTTCAAGTCAGCCTGAAACACATCTTAGTACAATGTCATGGATAATTTAAGATTTATGAATCAGCACAAAACTTTTTAGAATGGAATTTCTACTTCCTTTCATTTCCGTATTCTCCCTTTAACAAAAAGCAGGAAGAGCTGAGAGAAACAGCTGATAAATCCAGTTCCTGCTCTCCTAATGTTCACTCTGAAAGAGACAAAGCTGATGGGAACAAAGTAGATTTAAAAAAAAATTGTGGTAAAATTAACAAAGTGAATACAAAAGTTATAGATACAAAACATGGAACATGATAAAGCCACATTTGAATTTAGAGATAAGAAACCAACTTAAAATGTGCGTTTGGATAGAGGAAGGGTCAAAAGGGAAAACCACATTTCCCTCCCACTGACCCTCCTAAATAAAAAAGTTCAGTGAAGAAGGTTATGCTTCAAAGGTTTTGTTAAGCTTGAATATACTTTGTATAGCTGAAGGTGAAGGAGAGAACACAATAGTTTGGCAGAAAGCTTGAGGGTAGAACAACAACAACAGAATAAAGAATGTATGGAACAAGTTACATGGTGGAATAATAGTAATTACTATTATTGGAGACAGGGTCTTGTGCTGTCACTCAGGCTGGAGTTCAGCTGTATGACTATGGCTCACTGCAGCCTTGAAGTCCTAGGCCCAACTGATCCTCCCACCTCAGCCTCTTGAGTAGCTAGGACTACAAGCATGCCTCACCATGCTTCATTAATTTTTAACATTTCTTTGTAGAAATAGGGTTGCCCAGGCTGATCTTTAATTCCTGGGTTCAAGGGATCCTCCCAAAGTGTTGGAATTACGGGAGTGAGCCAGTACACCCAACCCATGGTGGAATGATTGCTAAATAGTAAATTGATTCAACAGCTGGCAAAGTAAAGCAGAACAGAAGTACATGTCCGTGTTTATCTCTTACATTTAAATATGACTAATCTCACGCAACAAGCAAATAATAAAATACCAAAGATCTAGGTTGGAAGAGCTTAAAGTAGGAAGGGCAAAAGGAGTAAAAGGTAGTAAGAAAGGTAAAAGTGAAACAGAATTATTAGAGGAAAATAGTGTTTGAGGTGTAACAAGTTATAACACTTTAAAGGAAAACAAATCAAAAGCTCACCAACTCACTGGAGGCACTGAGAGTTTCCATGCCTCCTGCCACCAGGATATCAAGAGAACAGATGAGACTAAAGCAGCAAATGAGTATTTTTATCATAATAATTATATGATATGCAATTATCACACATTTTGAATACATTTAAAAAACTTGATCAACCAATGCTGTAAATTGAACTGATTATCAAATCAAATCTGGTATTAAATAACTTATTACCAAATATGTCTGGGGAAAGAGGAACATGAGAAATAGACGCCCCGGGACAACCAGTAAATACCCAGCACACAGGGTAAGTGCCTGTCTATTTTCCCAAACTGTGCTCAAATTAAAGTAATCCTCAAAAAAGCATTCTATAATTAAATAAGGCAGCAATAGAGTGTATATCACCTTTCTTAGGAAATCACGATACATGCTGGTCTATTAAAGCCCCCAAGAAATCTACAGCCATAGTGGCTCATGCCTGTAATCCCAACACTTTGGGAGGCTGAGATGGGAGGACTGCTTAAACCCAGGAGTTTGAGACTAGCCTGGGCAACAGAATGAGTTCCCATCTCATTTTATTAAAAAACAAGAAACACTACCACTACCACTAATTTTATTAACTAAGAAATTTCTTAACTGATTTGACCATGGACTCACTTAAAAAAAAATCATTTTATACCATGTATTCTATTGAATATAACTGGGGACAAACGAGCCCAAATTTCAGAAGAATACAGGATAAAAACAAAACTGAATATACATAACAAATTTTGATATGTGATAGATGATTGATTGATAGATAGGTAGATTGACTGATTGACTGACTAAAAGGGCAACGTAAGTTCACCAAAGGACTGATAATGTTTCTTTGAATTATGAGTAATTTGGTTTTTTTTGTATTTGTCTATTTTTATTTTCTGAAATGAGCATGTGTCACCTTAATAATAAGAAACTTACGAGAAAAAAAGCCATCTTTCTGTTGCTAAAAATATAAAATATAATCTGTGACTGTGGTATGATGACCGTACGTTTAAATACTAATTATAAGGTACTACACACGTTGTTAAACCTCCAACCATTCAAATCACCAAAAAAGTAAAAATCCAACAGATATCAGGTCCTTCCTTTAAGATGTTCTTGTGCTAAATCCCCTAATTAAAATAAAATCAAAGAAGGCTGTATAAAGTAGAGGCTACTAAAGATTATAAGATTTGCAGTATTTATAGGATTTGAATAATTATTTCACATAGATGATTAACACAACTGCTTATATTTCCTCATTTACAGATGCTTTCTTTATATTTAATATTGACATAAAAGTCCCCTTGTGCCCAGCAGCCTTCACCTTGTCCCCTCACAAGACTGTAGTGACCTAGGAAAATCAGATGAGGCTGTCTCAACAGAGCACAGGCTGCCATCATTGGTTCCCCTTTCCTGGGAAGCATCTACTTCCCTGTGCACATTCTGTCCTTTTCACAGTCCTCCTTCTGCAGAGACTGGGGCTAAATTTGAAGAATGTCTCTATGTAGACTTGACACCAACGCCCTGGAGAGCTTTACTAAAGTGCTACCTGGTATCAATGGCTCAAGGAATCGCATACTGGGGGAAGAAGAATCTGGTAGTACTGATTTTCTTCTTTCAGGGCAGAAGGGAAAGAGATGAAGTCAGATTTTCATTAGATAAGCCATGAAAATTGCCTTTGATCCACATATAATGAACTCTGTAAAAATCACAGCAGAGAATCTGCATCTCTAAGACAGATTTTCAGGCTGCTAACGTTGGCAATTTGAGCCAGTCACTGTCAGTGACACAGGGGACCATCTTTACCCTCAAGTCTCTAGCGTCTAACTGGAAACAGAAGACAGGTATGTAGGAAACGGGAGGGGGCTCATCAAGAAGGAACACCACAAACGGCTTTATTAAGGATATCATGGTTTTCTTATTTGAATATTTATGTTCCAAAAAGAATTTAAGAAACTGCACTTGCAAAAACACATTTAAATTTACCTTAGGAAAAGAGTAAAAAGGAATGTAAGAACAATGGGCGAACATAATATCCAAAACATTATTAATCGTGATTGATATCAAGTGTAAGTACATTTCCCTTAACAGGTTTTGAAATATCACCTGAGAACCTAGAACGTAAAACAAAAAAATTAAAATCACTCCACACTGCTTTAGCATGTCCTTAAATACAGACTGCAGATAGTTCCTGTGTCTGACTATACCATTATCTCTGAGCATAACCTCTCTCCCTCAAGGTATCTAAGATAGCAGGACTCTGTCACCCATTTCATTTTTTCACACATGCTCATTTCTTCAGTGCTCGCCAGCACCCCAGGAGTATAGCTGACCCTTGAACAACACGGGTTTGAACAGTGAGGGCCACTTGTCTGCAGACTTTTTTTTTCAACAAATACACTAAAAAATATCTTGGAGACTAGTGACAATTTGAAAAAACTACATAGCCTAGAAATATGGAAAAAAATCAATAAAAAGTTAGGAATGTTATGAATGCATAAAATACATGTAGATATGTCTATTTTATCATTTACTACCATAGAAGATACATAAATCTATTTAAGCCAAATATATCAAAACTTACGCACAGAAACACAGATCATATATGGTGCCATTTGCAGTGGAGAGAAATGTAAACAAACGTAAAGATATAATATTAAATCATAACTGCATAAAATTAATTACAATACATACTATACTCCTAAAATAATTTCACAGCCATAGCCTGCTGCTACTGTGGTGAGCACAAGTGTTAGAAGTCTCTGATTAAAAACTAATCGTCTCCAGGTGAGCAGTTCCTCTCTCTGATAAACTCTATGTCAGAGTAAAAAGTGACCTCTCATGGTTCTGGTGTATTTTTCATGCTTAGTAAAATATGTAAACCCTGAATAACACCATGGGACCCATATGAAGTGCCACTAGTGATGCTAAAAGTGCTCCCAAGAAGCAAAGTCATGACTTTTATAAGAGCTGGATTGCTTGATCTGTACCATGGGTTGAAGTCTGCAGCTGCAGTTGCCTGCCACGTCAGACAGATGAAGTGAACTCACCATACTGACAAATGCAGTCAAGTACCGCAAATGTATCTTCCTGATGATTTTCTTAATAACATTTTCTCTTCATTAGCTTACTTACTGTAAGAACACATTATATAATACCTTGAACATGCAAACTATTATGTGTTCATTCACTGCTCATGTTATCAGTAAGGCTCCTGGCCAACAGTAGGCTATCAGTTAAGTTCTGGGGGAATCAAAAGTTATACTCAAATATTCATCTGCATGGGGGGTGGGAGTCTGGGCAGCCTAACCCCTGCATTATTCAAAGGTCAACTGTATCTCCATTTTATGAATAAAGAAAGAGGATATAGAGGTAAGGGCATGGCCAGGCCAGGTACAGTGGCTCACAACTGTAATTCCAGCACTTTGGGAGGCCAAGGAGAGATCGCTTGAGCTCAGGAGTTTGAGGCCAGCATGGGCAACAAAGCAAGACCTTGTCTCTATTAAAAAATAAAAAATTTTTTAAAAGGCTGGGAGTGGTGGCTCACGCCTGTAATCTCAACACTTAGGGAGGTCAAGGAGGGCAAATTATGAGGTCAAGCGTTCAAGACCAGCCTGGCCCCCGTGGGGAAACTCTGTCTCTACTAAAAATACAAAAATTAGCTGGGCGTGGTCATGTGCACCTGTAATTTCAGCTACCTGGGAGGCTGAGGCAGGAGAACTGCTTAAACCTGGGAGGCAAAGGTTGCAGTGAGTGATGGAGCAAGACTTTGCCTCGAGGGGAAAAAAAATTATCCAGGCTTGGTGGTGTGTGCCTGTGGTCCTAGCTATTCAGGAGGCTGAGGTGGGAGGACTGCTTGAGCCCAAGGGGTTGAGGCTGGAGTTAGCTGCCATTGGACCACTGCACTCCAGGCTGGGTGACACAGTGAGACCATCTCAAAGAAAAAGATTTGCCCAAAGTCATAAAGTTAAACAAACTGTGTATACACAGAGTGGGGCTTGGCACAGTGGCTCACATGTGTAATTCCAGTACTTTGGGAAGCCAAGGCAGGCAGCTTCCCACCTAAGGTCAGGAGTTCAGACCAGCCTAACCAACATAATGAAAGCCCACCTCTACCAAAAAAACACAAAAATTAGCTGGGTGTGGTGGCATGCGCCTCTAATCTCAGCTACTCGGGAGGCTAAGGCAGGAGAATCATTTGAACCTGGGAGGAGGAGGTTGCAGTGAGCCAAGATCACGCCATTGCACTTCAGCCTGGGTAACAGAGTGAGATCCAATACACACACACACACACACACACACACACACACACACACACGAAGAAGTGCTCACTATATAGTGGGCTCTCTCTCAGTCAATACTGGGCTAGTGGTTAAAAAATTTATGGCACAAAAACTACTTTGAAAATATACTAGATAAAAGGCTCCCTTATTGTGGGTGGGACACCCCATAGGAGACCCTGCAAGTGCCAA